TAGGGAATCTTATGATTCGTAGAGATCCGAAATATTTTGGTTACATTTCATAGTGGTAAGGAGTTATGTGGTCATTATAGCAGTGCTGTATAGTCTTATTATTAACCAGCCGCAACTTACACCAATAAATGGAAAATAAAAAATTGTCTACTGAAAGTGCCAATTAGGGCAAGATTACAATATATCTTGTACCCAAAAATCGACCTTAAAAAATACACACTTCCTACCCAATCTTACCTATAATACTTATCTAAGTTAATAGATCAATCATTATAGATAACAGTATAAATAAGAATACAATATCTAGATTTTCGGAGGTCGATGGTCATGTACAAGATGCATTCTAATCTTGCCGCATATTGCAATATCATTCGACAATTTTTTATTTTCTAGCCATTGGTGTAAGTTGCGGCTAGTTGATGAAAAAACCATAGGCACTTCTATAATTACCACATAACTTTTCACCACTATGAAATATGACTAAAATGTTTTGAATCTTTATAAATCATAAGGTACCTCAAATCTGGTAATAGTGGCAGCTGGTTAAAATTTTGACAACCCTTCAGCCTCAGCTCTTGGTCTATTATGGGGACAATTCTATCCTGCACTCTCCATTGAGCTCTATGCGACTGCAGTCTTAGGGAACCTTGCTTACACTGTGTATTATCGTAACCACAAGAACTCACCATCCAGCAGGGATGGACGTGTCATTTATTATGCGTCATAAGTTGAATTTACGACGCGTCTAAAATTGTAATAAGCGATACTCCGACGAACCTTAATTTTCGACACAAGTGTATTTACGACACTTAAGTAGCCGATGCTTGGTGAGGGCGAGCTTACACTGCTCCAGTGCTCCCAAATAAAGACCCAAGCCAGTGTGAAAATTCATAACTTTTCAGCTTCTAATACAAGCGCCTATCATCTAATAACTCAGGGTGCTGACTGGCTAATAATAAATAATACAAGCCCCTAACACCACTTACTGGCTAGTTTTATAATTAATAAAATGTTAAGCAATAACACAAACACCATTCAGCCTATGACCCAGAGCGCTTACTGGCAATTTTATTAAATAAAATTAATTGATAACTAAAGTGCCTATCACCAAGTGACCCGAGGCGCTTACTGGCCCTTTAATAGTTAATCAAATGATAATCAATAACACAAGCGCCAATCACTAGGCAACTTGGAGTGCTTACTAATCGCTATAATAATTAATAAAATGGAAACTAATAACACAAGCGCTAATCACCCGATGATTAAGGGCGCTTACTAATCGCTATAATAATTAATAAAATGGAAACTAATAACACAAGCGCTAATCACCCGATGATTAAGGGCGCGTACTGGCCACATTAATAATTAATAAAAGATTAATTGATAACTTAAGTGCCTATAACCAAAAGACCCGGGGCGCTTACTGGTCACAATACTAATTAATAAAATGTTAAACAATAACACAACTGCGAATCATTCGAGAACCCAGGGCACTTCCTGGTCGCTACATTAATTAATTAAATGGTAAACAATAATACTAGCGCCTATCGCCAAACTACCTAGGGCATCTACTATATTTGCTTTATTAATTAGTAAAGCATTGAGTAATAACACAAGTGCTAATCACTAGGTATATCGAGGTACTTACTGGACACTTAATAAAATTAAACCTTGGTTCGTCTGGTGATTAGCATTTGTGTTATTGTTTAACATTTTACTACTTAATAAAGTGGCCAGTAAACGCCCTGGGTCATTGGGTGATAGGTGCTTGTGTTATTAATTGAAAATTTATTATTTAATAGAGTGGCGAGTCAGCACTCTTTGTTATAAATTTCACACCCTTTTTTATTATTGGGTTATTGGCGCTTGTGTTGTAAGCTTAAAAGATTTGAATTTTCGTGCTGGGTTGGGTACCGGTTTATTGAGCACTGCACTGCTCTCTTAAATTTAATATGGTGATATTTGTACAATTATTCAAAATAGTGCATATGCAGTGTAAATTAGTGAATGTACACCATTTAAACAGTGAAACAGTCGCTTTTACTATTTCAAAGTTGTATACTTGTAACATTTTAAATAAACAAATATTCACTGCGAAATAGACTTGTGAAGTTGGGGCCCGTAAATATTAAATATTAATATTTTGCACCCATTCAGGGCTTAAACGATTCCTCCTTACTTGCGGATTCATCCTCCACTTGAATTTTTATTTGCGGATCAATAGTTTGCGAGATATTTGCAAAATAAAAAGTCGAAAATGGGCGCGGCGCTGAAGTATAAAAAACTTTGTTTTAAGTGCTAAATTGGGTTAAAATCCAATTCTACCTGTACGATTCGATTCCTCCTCATTTGCGGATTACGGAGGTATATAAATTAATGTAATTAAATGTCACAAAGTTTGTAAATGATGAATTTAATTATTGAGT